GCAGAAACAGAATTGGATAAGCTGACATAGAATTGGACAGGAAAACCATGTAAATAATACATTTAGTAAAAACACTAACTTTTAAAAATGAAATGATAAACCATTGAGATTTCTTGGAATTTAATTGATTCCAAACATGCTTTGCATTCATCATCATTCCTCAAGCTCAAACAGAAATGGTTCTAAGTATACTATATGACGGCAAAGCTGTATAATATTTCATTTTAATTTTATCACTTTTTTCAGATTATGAGAATACATTATTAGAGTACAGACCATTGATGCTGGAAGTGAGTGGATAGTGTTTCCGGAGACTCAGGGATCCAGAAAAAAGATCCATAAATTGTACAGTGTATAACTATTCACGAAAGTGGATAAAATAAAATGTTCAATCTAAAAGTGACATTGTTTGATTGTCTGTTTATAGCATTTTTATTGATAAAAATCTAATAACTACGTATCAATTTTTAGCATGCAATTTCATAATTATTAGATAGTCGAAGAATTTGAAACATATCTTTATATTCTGCACTTTGAAGTATCATAATTAAAACAAGGTCAATATTAAATGATCGATCAATTAATGTTAAAACTGACAAAATGTTTTTGTGAGAAAAAAGAAAGAAGGCTAATTTATATATTGTACCTCATGTTGGACTGATGTTGGTGTGATTAAAATAAAAATGATGATGAACTAGTTTAAAGTCAGACAACACGTTCCTCAAATTTATGTTTTGTATCTCTAGGTATTATATATATGTAAAATATTCATATTTGTCATTCTCTTCTGATTTCTACATTGTTTTCGAAATGTTTTTAGATATAGGAATGCCCATTAGGGTTATTAATGAATATCTTTTAGGGTCAGTTCAAGTTTAGACATTCATATATATATATATATAGCTCTTCAAGATTTTTGTTTTAGGCACCAGTATAGATACTGAAGTCTTAGCTGTCTTGCAATATTGTTTCTTGATAAGGACAGCAGGAGAATATATCATCGGTTCAATACCAAAGGTTTCAGTCATTCGTTCTTGACAGACATGATATCATTTTTGAAAGTGCATGGTCTGGGAAAGGCATAAAAAAACTGCAAGAAAAAAAGGGGGGTGAAATTCTCCAAACTCGCGGGGGGGGGGGGGTAAACATCAGCTTATGTTGAGAAAAAAATTGGATGGGGATGTCATCCCCCCTACACAACCCAAACCTGATGCTACATGCCTGATTGATATGGTTTTACTTTAAAATTATGTGAGTTGTCATAGTGACTCTCTTTCATAAACTATAATTATTGTGAGCAAGCGCATAAAAAATGCTATTGCATTAAATGTTTTTATTTCAAAAAAGGTCCAAATATTAATTTAAAACCTTTTTAAAATTTTGCTAGTGCAGATATACATACCAAAAATGACTATGACATACATGTATACTCAAGTCATACATGTAGGTAGTAAAACCGTTGTGTTGAGCACAAACTTCCAATAAATATGTAAATGTGCCAAACTCATATAGTACACTTTTACTGCAATGACCTTGAAAAAGCTATGTCCTTGAGTCAAGGTCAAACATGTCCAAATGAACTTCAAGGTCATGACAAACCTACAGCTCAAAAATAATATCCGAGATGAAACTTCAAGTCTTTTCATTAGAATGTTACAGAATTGGCAAAGATTGCACTATTCTTCTACCAATGACCTTGAACTTGTTCAAATGACCTTGGGTAAAGTTTTTGACACATCTCTAGATCACAAGCAATCTTAATATCAAGTATGAACTTTCAGTGGAACTTCATTGAAATGTTATGGACAATTCAAAATTTTACATACATATGGATTGGTGAACAAGGTGATTCACACCCCCACCCCTTTTTTTGCAAGTTTCGTTTATGAGGAATGTAAAATTCCTTTTGAAATAAAATATGCATTTATTTATCAACAATAGTAAAATTATGAGTATGCTTTGATCAGAACAAATATGACCAATATAATGGACACTGTACATGTATTCAACTTACCCCCACCCCTTCAAAAAAGCTTATAAATGCCAGATTGTCACACATTTTAACCATTTGTAACTTTTTTCTACTAAAGTTGCCTGCAAATTTTATTGTATAGATATTACATATAGATAACCCCTAACAAGATCACATCATTCATTTTTCCAGCAGTGGTTGTAGATTTTGTGTATATAGTGATAAACATATGTATTTTTTTCAAAATTAATAAGCATTGACGCCATGTTCTTTTCCCGTTGTCATGGCAAAAATATGACTACAGAAATTTTGTTTTTCCTATTTTTGGAGAATAAAGTAATTCCATCTTTTAACAAATAAAGTAACCAAATTACCTTATCTTATCACGTTCAGATAACATATTCATAGAAAAATGTCTAAAAATCATTGATTTTCATGAGGATTTATGAACCCGTTGCTAAGGAAATGAATTTCCTTGGATACCAGTCCCTTCATACTTTCGAAAAAAAATTTTAATTGTGTTTTAGCATTAGGTAGGACAAAATCTTTCATATACCAAAAGCTTTTGAAAAAATAAAATTTTGACTTTCCATTCAATGCTCGATGCTTGCTGATTTTGACTCTTAAATTTTTCTGTGAAGTTTGTTGTTGCAGTATTAATGTTTTCTGTATCATCAATAAGGCTATTCCAGTCGCATTTTACAACTGAATCATTAAGGAGTTCTAAATCTGCTTGTTTATAGTTCCAAATTTTACGTTTATATGCCACATTTACATTTGTATTCTGGTAAATATATATATAAGTTGCTTTATGATCACTAACTGTATTACTAACTTGTAAAGTTCCAGAATCATGTACATGTATATTGTCACTAATAATGATAGGATCTATAAGGGTTTCTGTATCGCAAGTAATTCTAGTAGGTTCGTGCATGATATTTGTTAACCTACAGCTATTCCATAATTGTATTAATCTCATGTGAGTTGTTAACTTTTAAAAAATCAACGTTAAGATCACCAAGTACAACAATATTGTTAGATATATCACACGCCTTTTCAAATGACCAAGATAATTTTTGCCAAAAGACACTATTAGTGTGTGGTGGACGATAAATACAACATATATTAAGTAGTTTTCCCTTTACTTGTGGTATTTCTATCCAAATGAGTTCCGTATCAACGGGTTCTAAATCTTCTCTTCGACTAGCCTTAATGAAATTTGAAACATAAATCATTACACCACCACCATGAGAATTACGATCTTTTCTGAAAATACACTTAAAACCTTCTATAAACAAACTTTCATTTGTAACATGTGTGTCTAAATGAGTCTCACTAAAACATAGTAAATCAAAATCTTGAACTAGATACAGTAGAAAATCAATCTTATTCCTGGTGCTTCTGATATTAAGGTGCAAGATATCAAGAGAGTTTGGTGCAGATGGACCTGGGTTTGTTTCAATATCACCAGATAGCAATAGAATGACAAACATGAATAACTGTGCAAAAAAATTAATTCTGAGAGACCAGAATGACATACTGTTATAATGTTTTTTGAAGATACTGGATATGAAAAGCAAAATATCTAACAACGTAGTAGATTTTGAAACTTTGAAAGCAGACCTTGACAGTATATTATGACTTTGAGTGTGGAAAACCCCAATCGCGGCACGATGTTGTTCTAGAGAATTACCCATTATCAAAAAATTTAGTTATGCAATATCTAAAGTTTGGTTTGCTTCTGGGCCGCCTTGGGATGGGATTTAGTGAAATTGAAATTATTTGGCAATATATAAGATATGTCAATTCAAGATAAACGGAAAGTAAAAAAAAACAAAAAACACGATGATAAAGTGATATGTTTAAATTCTCCGTTTAATTTGCTAAGTATCAAATAAATATATTCAATTTATTTAGTTCAGTCAGCCAATCGACCAGTTATATTTATGATCAACATATCAGATTTTAATACTCTCAGTCAAGCAAAGTGACATGCTCCTAAGGGAAATAAAATAAATATGTGTGTGTAAACTCTTTAGAGAACATAGTTTTTTGTACCTTAAAAAAATATAGAACTAAACCGTTTCGATATTTTCTAGCATTCACTTAGTAAACCTCAAGTATATATTTTATTTCATTTTGAAACTAGCCTTTATTCTTTAATAAAAAATTTCAAATTACATGTATTAGTATTTTTTTTTTTAATGAATGTAATCATGATAATTAAAATTGTAGTTTACGTAAACAAACAAATCCTTGTCTGCATGTCGACCAATCGCTTCAATTAAGGAGTGTAAACACAATCGGAATACCTTTAATTTGCACACGTCCTTATAAACACAGGAACTAGTTGGCTACCTATCAATTCAACCAAATTTTTTAGCAAATAAAATAATATATTGTAAAAGGAATTTTTATAATTATATATTATAGTATTAGTGTTATTCAGTTGTATTTACACAATAATATTGTTATTATCATAGTATTATTCTTTTTTAATTACTGACTGTTTTGGTATGCAAGCTCGTGTGATTTAATTAAATTCTTTTTTAAACATTTAAAGAGAGAGAGAGAGAGAGAGAGAGAGAGAGAGAGAGAGAGAGAGAGAGAGCGCAGGTTAACAGGTTAGCAGGTTAAATACATGTAGGTCAACACACATCTTTTATGTTGAAGTGGCTGCCATTCATTCGTGACTGGATGTTTACCGCTGATTAAACGTTCACCCATTTTTCATGTTCTAAAGTTATTAATGAATGTTGAACTTCTAGAACTTGCCCCAAAATCAAAATTTAGGACATTCATTTTTTTTTTTTTTAAATATTTCTAAATTAACAAGACTAGTTATAAATAAAGTGAGCGACATCGATATTGTGGTGTTATAAAATATTTTGGTGAGCGGAAGAGCAGGTTACTTTTTGTAAAATAAGAGTCCCGTGACGCAGTGGAAATTCCCCATTTATTTATTTCCCATCAACAACAAACACGTGTATACTAAGTATTGATCGTGCATGTGTAGGCTAGGAAATATTGCATCATTACTTTTAAGCTGTTGTACTGTGACTGAAGACTGCAGCCGTGTTCAATCCGTAGGTAAGTTGTTTCACTATTTTAATAACACAAATTTAACATTATGGCTCTTTCATGGAATTATTGATAGACACGTTAAAATGTATATAAACTTGAGAAAGAAATGTAATTTTATAAGTAAAAACCCCCTTTTTCCCTATTCCGTATGTGGATGAAATGTTTACACGTGATGGTCCGGAATATTAAATGTAAAACAAATAAACAGATGGTATTTTTAATGGCTAGTATATGAATATCATTTCATTTGTTTACTTCACAACAAGTTCAAAATCCCCCAAAACGTAATTAATAACAAATAGCAATATATCTGATTAAGCTTGAAATATGTTGTTTTTTTTCTTCGTAGCTGAATATGCTACCATAGGAATATACCTATTAAACATGTTGAGCTTGAAATTTATTTTTTGTCGCTACATGTAAATATACAGTATAATTTGTCCAATCCGGCTACCGCCGGTTCCATAAAATTTGGCCGGATTAGACAGAATCCGGAGTGCAGGAAAAATGCAGGAAAATATCAATATCGAAAATTTTCGTTGTTTATTTACAAGTACATCATATACATATCGTAAATAAAATTAAATTATGAAATCAATTACTATTTTGGAGTCTATAAATTATAAAAATAGTCTCACATGACTGACTATATTTTCTTATTTGTTCTCGAAGTTTGAAAGTCGGGTGAAATGTTTCCTCAATCAAAATATACAGGCACGCATAATATAGGCCTTATTATTATTTTTTGTCGCTACATGTAAATATACATGTACCACCATATGAATTTACTTGAATATACTTGATTAAGTATCATTTGAGTATGTCGAGTCTGAAAGATGTCTTTTTTATTTGGTCGCTAAATATACGACCATTATATACATGATATAGGCATATACCTGATAGTGATTAAGTATGTGTTGAGTCAGAAATATATATTTTTTTCTCGTCGCTAAATTTGCCCATACGAATATCAATAAGTATGTTGAGTCTGAAATATGTTTTTTTTCTCGTCGCTCAATATACAGCAATAGGCTTATACCTGATTAAGCTCGACAATTTATTTTTTTTCGTTGACTGATCGCTAAATAAAAATACAGAAGCACAAAACAAATTATTGTCATTTTTTAATCTCTGAAATCAAAAGATTTCAAGTCAACTAGACTTTTTAAATTACTTTAAATGATATGCATCTTTTATCTTTCTGAAGGATGTGACAAGAATTTTTTTTAACTAATGGATAAAAACATATCGGTAAATGTAAAAAGTCATGATCGAGGAAGTATGTTAAATTTGAATCATGCAGTGAATATACAAAATATGTTAATTTGGTAAATAATCAAAATATGTTGAACTTGTACTGGTAGATATACATGTACAAAGAATCTCGATTTATAGTTCTTTAAATTACAAAATACGTTTGACCCCATGCCCCGCAGTATAGAAAGAGAATCCGCGTCTAAAAGACAAATGATGCGTTCCTCAATTATGTATTATTTTTTCCAAGATTTTGTTATTGAAGTATTGCTACTTTAATATTTTAATCACAAAAATGGAGGTATCTTACCAGGCATTTGTGCAATATAGCCGAGGGTAGTGTTTCTTATATAATCTTTATGAGAAAAAACTTAATCTTCCAAATCACCTTTTTTATTAGTGTTGAATTTTTTAAACAAGAAATTGCTTTAGAAATCAGGATATTATTAAAATTTTGAATATTTTTCATACATTACAAAATGTGCAAAACAGGCATTTGAGGAACTATCGTCCGGCCTTAAAGATCTACTCCTTACTTTGCGATTTTAGAGCAAACGCTCAAACCACAGCACCACGCGTGTGACCCTCTCTCTAGTAGAGCATGCATGTTTACACGTAAATATGATTATATGATTGATATCTTGTGGGCCAGGGCCATTGAGCTGATGCGAATTAAATGTAATGTCACACGTCAAAATAATCAATAAAAAATATATAGTAATTGAAATCTGCCGCACGTACCGATAATATATTCAACCGGAGGGAATTTAATTATCTTGGTATATTAGAGGATAAATATTTTTATATTATCAGATTAACGAAAACGAAAAGGGTCATGCATGTCAATTAATTAGAAATATTATTTATATCTTATTTATTCTTCATTCTCTCTCAACTGTATTTTGCTTCAGGTAGAACTTGAAAATCTGAAAATATGGAAAAATCACGGGAAAACCGAGGGTGCTGTCTTGTCAGAAAGTTCCGAACATCTCTGAGACGCCATCTTCTGTTCATTCTGACTCTCTTGGCAGTTATCTTTGGATTCGTTCTGGGATTTACGATACGTCTCGCAGAACCCTCGAAGGACGCAATACAATGGCTTGGTATGTGTGGCTTATTTTAAGCATACTATAAACGATAACACTACGTACTTTGACCAAAATATAGAAAATAAACAGAAAATACATGGATAAGGTACATGAGAAGAATTAATGTACAAATACCACATCTTATGTAATATACGTTTTATACAATAAGAAATTCATAGATCTCATATGATATGAAAACGTCTTTGGATCACGTACGTATAAGAAAACATGGATAATGAGATTTATACGTCAAGCAAATTCAAAGAGTTGTTGTCCCCCGCTTTCGGTGTCTTCGTGGGTTCGATGTCATTTTTCTGAAAAATTGTGTAAAATATGATCGCCCTATCATATGTCATTAAGAAATTATCACCGAAGTTTGTTTTTTTTTAAAATAAGGGTCAATCTTGAAGGTCAAAGCGTCAGAAATCATAGCATGCTCGGAAATATTTTGTCACAGATAATGTATCTCTTCTGGATCAAAAATTATAAGAAAAAATAACAATTTTAAAGTAGGTCAAACTTCAAAGTCAAGGTCACAAGATCAAAAATCATAGTGTATTTAGAAAGGTCTTGTCACAGGCAATACGCATGTTTATTGTGAAGGTCATATCTCTTCTCATTCAGAATTCATGACCAAAGTTAAAGTTTTTGAAAAGTAAGTTTCACTTGAAGGTCAAGGACACAAGGTCTAAATCATAGTGTTTAGGAAGGTTTTGTCACAGGTAATACACATTTTTATATAAAAACCCTATCTCTTCTCATTCGAAAGTTATGGCCAATTCAAATTAATGACTGTTTAAATTTTTTAAAAGTATGTCATACTTGAAGGTCAAGGTTCCTGCGTCAAAAATCATAGTGTATTTAGAAGGGTCTTGTCACATGTAATATACATATGTAATATGAAAGTCCTATCTCTTCTTGTTCAAAAGATATGACCAAGGTTAAAATTTTTGAAAAGTGGGTCAAACTTCAAGGTCAAGGTCACTTGGTCGATAAATCATAGTGTATTAAGGAAGGTCTTGTCACAGGTACATGAAGTACACATTTCTAATATGAAAGCCCTTTCTCTTCTTATTCAAAAATTATGGCCAAGTTTAAGGTTTTTTCCTAAGTATCTCCAAGGTCAAAAGGTCAATTGTGGTAGTACCCAAAGAAAGGTCGCGTAACAAGAAATACACATGTGAAATATGAACGTCATAGCTCCACTAAATCAGAAGTTATGGGCAAAGTTAAAGTTTTTGTCACGGACGGACGGACAGATGAATGAGATTTAATGCCAAAAAGGTACATAGATCATACATGTATATATATGAGATATAATACTTGGCTCCTGAATCACACATGAGATAATTCAAAATATGCAGATGGGTTACATATTATTTTGTCAACAATAAATACCTGGAAAAACGTGTGGTTACAATAGGTACTTCATATTAAGTGATAACATAATTATATATTTATTCAAAGGATCACGCATCATATATACATGTAGATTCTTAAAAAACACTCACACATGAGACAAAAAATCTTGGATCACATACGTGATATCAATAAGAACAAGGATCACAATTGATCGATATCAATTCAGCAACATAAACAAGTCCACACAGATTACATTCTATTCCATAGACAACATGAACTATTCAACGGTCAAAGGTAAGATGTCTTATAATAAGCAAGTGCAGCTTGGATCTAGGCCTAGGGTCGAGATATTCATTGAACTTTGTAAGGGAAATGACATTTTTTATGTAATATGTAGTAACATTGTCAGCAATAAAATTTTCAATTTATATACAAAATTGAAATTGGAGAATTTCTTAAATTTTGATTTTAAAAAAATATTAATACTTTGCAGGGATGCCAGGAGAACTTTTTCTGCGACTGTTAAAAATGATGATAATACCTCTATTGGTGTGCAGCGTTATACATAGTGAGTGTTATGTATACATACTACATAGTTATTGTTATGTACAGTGTACATGTATATATAGTAAGAGTTAGTAATATGGTAAGTGATATGTTACATATGCTAACTGATATGTATATAAAAATTATAATGTATATACATGTATGATAAATTTCATGCTTAGTTAGTGTTATACATAGTAAATAGAAAGCTCCCATTCATAAAAATTGACCATTAAAAGAATTTTTGCCATGCAAGTGAGGGAGATTTCAACCCATTTGCATATAGTTAACCATTGTTGAATACTGCTATATTTTCTTTGCAATAAACATTAGTTAAATACGGCTATATGTACTTTGCAATTGACCATTAGCTGAATACTCTTCTATTTTCTATGCAGCTGATTATTAGTTGAATACTCCTCTATTTTCCATTGCAGTTGACCATTAGTTGAGAATGCTTCTCTGTTTTCTTTGCAGTTGACCATTTGTTGAATACTTCTCTATTTTCTTTGCTGTTGACCATTAGTTGAATTCTTCTCTATTTTCTTTGCAGTTGACCATTTCTTGAATTCTCCTCTGTTTTCTTTTCAGTTGACCATCAGCTGAATACTCTTCTGTTTTTTGTTTTAGACCATAAGTTGAATACTCCTCTATTTTTCTTTGCAGTTGACCATTTGTTGAATACACCTCTCTTTTCTTTGCAGTTGACCATCAGTTGAATACTACTCGATTTTCTTTGAAGTTGACCATTGCATGAATACTCCTTGATTTTCTTTGAAGTTGACCATTGCATGAATACTCCTTGATTTTCTTTTCAGTTGACCATAAGTTGAATACTTCAGAATCTCTATTTTCTTTGTAGTTGACCATTATAATTTATAGTAAAAGAGTATAATGATAAAAACAAATTAAACAATGTACTTTTACTAAAAATCATAGCCTGGAAATACATGTATGATGTTGGTATTTTCCAAAACGAAATCAATGAACCTTTTTATTGTTCTTGGACTACTACAATTTTTAAGGTTTATATACTTTTTCAGGCACCGCATCTCTTGATCCAAAATCTAATGGAAAAGTCAGCGCCATCGCTTTCATTTACATTCTTCTGACAAACATATTAGGTTGTGTGATAGCTATAGCTCTCTTCTACGTCATCAAACCAGGTAAAATTTAAATGTTTCTGTGTGAAGCACGTCACCAATATCTGTGAAATAAGTTTGAAAAGAGTGGAATATGGTTAAATGTCGATTTATATTTATCCAGGTAGTGAAAGTCCGCTCAGTAAAGGAAAACCAGAAGTCTATGAAGCTAATCCACAAGATATATTTGCAGACTTACTTAGGTAAAAATTGTTTTGCTTAGTAAGTGTCATAGAAGGCTAGTAACCAGTACCTAGTGAACGGCATAGTAGTGAACACAAAGTAGTCCGTGGCATTGAATCAACTCTGATCGTTTAATTACTGAGTTTGTTTGAATTTTTCAAAATAAGTATGTAAAAACTTAATTGAAACAAAATGAAAAATCAATCTGAAACATGTAGGAAAACGGGGAACGTTTACATCTTATATTACATGTATTTGAATACAATTCTAAACATGCAATATTTTTCCGTTACTTTTCAGAAACATCATACCTGATAATATTTTTGAAGCGTCTTTTCGACAATCACAAACTAAATATGTACAGAAAGATGTGGAACAATTAATACCAGCGGAAGGAAACTCTTCATATCAGAATGCGTCCACCAATCAAAATGCATCAACTGTTCACGTGGTTCGAGAGCTAGTGAAATCTAAAAATAACGAATAAATCCACTATTTGTGTTTAAAAAATGTGAGCTAACATATTGACAAAGATAGCTACTTAAGTGTCACAAAATGTCTAAAAATTATTCTAAAAAAGATAATTAAAAACTCTTTTGTGTATTTGGTAGCGTGTATTTCAAGATTTGAAATTATATACATACTAGTAGAAAAAACCTCAATATGTTTTTATACATAAGATACCAACGAAAATTAAAGGAAAGGAAAAGTCAAGTTTTGCCGATTAAATTAAACTTATGTTAACACTCTGTTGGTTGGATGCAGTCTGTTTTCCCAGAGTATATACGATATATACATGTACATGTATACCAGAGCCATCAACAGAATGCGAGAAATAAAAAAAAAATCATCAAAGAATGACTGCGAAAAATTGTTTATAGCAAAGTAGAAGAAGAATTTACTTTGTTATTTTTTATATCAATCAGGAATTATATAATTATGATATTCTTTGACAGGACTTATAACTGCATGTATGTTCCTGGGAACAGCTGCTGGGAAGCTTGGAAAGAAAGCTCAACCATTCCTTGAGTTCTTCGCAGTCAGCACTGACGTTGTTTTACAAGTGCTACGATGGTTCCTTTGGTATGAAAACAATCTTTAGAATTTTACAAGGTTAATGATGGGAATTACATGTACTTTAAAGTTCTTCATCTAAAGAAGAAAGCTTGAAATAGATCTGAAACAAATATATATGTTTGTAGAAATCACGGAAATTAAAAAATATAGGATTTTATCAGTCGAAATTATGGATATGAATATTCATTAAGTATCTCTGGCATTATGAATATTCATGCAAATTATCTTCTTTCTTTCAAAGGATGACTCCATTTGGTATTGCGAGTCTTATAGCAGCCTCTATAGCCAGCACCCGTGACATCAGTAGCACGTTTTCCAGTTTGGCTTTATTCCTGTTGACGGTTACGATCGGGATCGTTCTTCACCAAGCATTATTTCTGCCTTTAATTTTATTTATTACAACCAGAAGAAACCCATATACATACTTTATTAGTGTGGGTCGGGCGTGGCTTATAGGATTTGCTGCTACAAGCACGTAAGTAAAATATCATCGAAAAAGTATGAAACGTGATGACTTCAATTTCTCCATCATAAAACTTTCTTCTTGTACAGTTTTTGCCTGTATTTGGTGTTTTATCACCTAGTCGATTTGATACACAATTAATGAATAAAATATTCTGAATATTTAATTTCTAAATGAAGGCAGGCTACTGACAATAGTATTTATATTGCAAGGGTATCATATGTTGTTTTAAGTTTTTGTTAGCTTGCATTTGGATGATTCCATTCGTATTGTTTAAATTCAACGTTTAATCATGACTTCTGTTCGTTATTTATTTTTTTTTACTTTATGCACAAAATCTCATAACTCTACCTACTTTATTACTCTAGGCAATGCAAAGAATGCTTAGAAACTATCGTATTTTCTTTTTTGTTTTTCAGAGCGATTGCTATTCCTGAAATGTTAAATGCTTGTGAAAACAAAAACAACATAGACAAACGAGTCAGTCGTTTTGTCATCCCCTTCTGTGTGACGCTCAATGCCGACGGCAGCGCCCTCTTTATTACAGCGGCCGCCATGTTTATTGCCAATATCACCGGCCAATCACTGTCATTTGGAGATGTAGTGATTATTGGGTGTGTATTAAATAAATTATTCATCAGTATTAAAACAACTTACAGGTTAAATGTATCATGCACACGTCTTTATAGTAAAAGGAATGCTTTTTATTTGCTATTTTCAGTTTTCGGGCTCTTTTTGTCATGCTTTGATTACATTAAGCTGATTCTATAATTACAATTTAAAGGGCACAGGATGTTGCTGATTATACGTAGTTTCGCTGTTTCCATTTGTAAAAGTACATAGCTACATACTAAATAAATTCCGTAAATATGAAATTCACCTACTACACTGAGCTAGCTCCAGCTGTGGCTAAACACTAATTACATATTGTTATTCCAATGATTACAGCAACAGGTTAATGGAAAAAAAAACTGATAACATTTAATATGTTTCTGGACAACATTTGTTTTTAAAGAGCAAGTGAATGTAATATTTTTGCTATATTTTAGAATTCTGTAGCTTCATACTGCTTACATTTAGCTGTTTCTACACACTGATTACATTTAGCTGTTTCTACACACTGATTACATTTAGGTGTTTCTACACATTGATTACATTAAGCTGTTTCTATGTTTTACATAAGAGCAGGTTAATGTTATGTTTTTGGTATATTTCTAGAGCTCTGTGGCTACACACTGATTACATTTAGCTGTTTCTACACACTGATTACATTTAGCTGTTTATACACACTGATTACATTAAGCTATTTCTACACACTGATTACATTTAGCTGTTTATACACACTGATTACATTAAGCTATTTCTACACACTGATTACATTTAGCTGTTTCTACACACTGATTACATTTAGCTGTTTATACACACTGATTTTGACATTTTGATGCTGTTTATCCTGACACACTAGTAATGCTAGCTATTTCTACACACTGATTAAGCCATTAAAAATAATTTTGGGGGTAATTTTAATTTGTTATTTGTATTAAATGACTTTCATTTGTCTGTTTTCACTTTGGTCAATGCTAGTTCTATCCTTTGCTTGCTGATGCTGATCCAAGTAATGCTGTTTTTTTAAATGCTGATGCTGATGCTAGTTCTATCCTGATCCTACTTATGCTACATTTTTATGTAACTATCATGTCTATGATTACAGATTACTGACAGCTATAGCTAGCCTCGCCCTACCGTCCGTACCCAGTTCCAGTATCGTGACCCTCATCATGATTTTGTCCGCACTGAAGATCCCAGTAGAAGCTGTATCTCTATTGTTTGCTGTGGAATGGTTTCTGTGAGTATTGTTTTTTAGGCTTTATCTCCTTCTCTTCAGCATATAAGTTCGAAATCAGGTAGTTGCAAAAGTTTTTGATAGGCCTGGATTTAGCACGAGTTACTTCCCGTTGACCACCACATGGGATTTCTAAATGGCAAAAATTCTTCATTATTCAACTAATTTTTCAATTATAATTCAATGATGGCCATTCTGGGGTAAGAGGCATTGTTTTTCTGAAGAATATACATTTTTGAAACCTCTTTTATTTTTTTATTTTTATTTTATACCTCCCTCTCTTAATGTTTCTGCTACACCCTCTTAAATTTGGTAAGACAAAGAGGAAAAAAATTACAGATCGACCTCCAATATGGCGGTCAGCGGGAAATAGCTCTTGCTAAATTCATGTAATCAAAATCTAAGACGGCAAATTATCAATTATCGTTCCATTTGCTTGCATCCCGTCAAAAATGATTTCCTCAGAAGACTATTCGCTGATATACTGAAATACCAGTAAAACATTAATCAATCAATCAATCAGTCATACTTCTATAATGATCAAATAGTTATTTAGCTACTTTAACTGATTTTTGTTCTGTAGGGACCGCATCAGGACTACGTCCAATGTTTTTAGTCACACCTGCTGCGCAGCCATTACAGCTCACTATTGTCAACAGACTTTTAAGACCATAGAGGATCCGGAACAGGAACTCGAAATCGTTGTATATTCAGCGGAAGCCCTGAATTCATGATAACAAGAAAACCATCCATTCTTCTGTATGAATGGTGACAAATATTTGGTTGTTAAAAATGAATCTCCATGTCGTATTTTCTAAAGTTGTTTTGTAAATCAGGACAATTCAGCAAAAATATCTAGGATGTGTTCAAGGTTTACATTTGTATTTTTATATTTCAAAGGGAAAAAAATCTTGATAATTATTTATGTAACACATGACATTTTTTAAACTTGTGAAAGAAAAATATATATATTTACTTGTTGCAAATAACTTATATCTTGTTTATTTTGTTGTTGGAATAAATTTTATTTTGTCTACAAGATGTGTATTTCATTTTTTACATTTACGTTATAAACAATTATGTGATGGTTTATATCTGAAGCCTTTTATATTTTCTATTTGCCTAACATTCTTTAGATCTGTATTTTAGGAATACTTAAAAAACCTTTTACACAGAAATGTAAGAATTGATATATGCAATACCATGATAAGGTGAATCTGTCGTTAATCGATTCTTGACCTTGATTTCTTAGCGTTAGTTAAATTTAATTGATTCAAGGAATTATAAGAAAAACTGTAAAAACGATCATTAAAAAAAGAAAAATTTTGTATAAGTAAGACTTAAAAATATATATCCTACAATAAGTTACGCATCAACCATTTGTCATCTTAAATATATACAAACTGTAACAATTTCAGAGTAACATTGAATTGGAAAAGCAGGTCCTAGGTAAAGTTCATATCCGTGAGCCAAACTCTTTAGTGAAACTATCAAAAATATAAAATGAGAAAAAAAATATAATTTAACCCCCCCCCCCACATACACGTCAGTAGGAAGTTATCCTTCCATCCGCTACATTAAAGGAATAACTGTCTTCTTTGTTGGGTATGCCAGGGCATCAACGATAGATGGAAACATGGGATAATTTGCATAAAGGGCGAAGCCTGTAATGCATAAATTATTAACTATCTTTGATGTACCTTATTCATTTTAACCAGCAGATTAGGCAATGATTCCTTATATTTAACATTACATTGTAAAAAAAAATTCAAATTTCAAATTGTAAATTTTGATTTTGAAAATGTTGTCTAATAGATTTAAATTACACGAGGCCTTCCATGTCAATTCCAAGTCCCTGTCCCTGACGTCAAACACAAAGACAGTCACGTGAGATTTACATGCATGTTACGCCTCCTTAGCTCAATGAAATTTACATTCCAGTAGAATTATCAAGAAATCAACTCAACTAACTTTCAATGAGATATTAGAGGAAAACAAATGGAAATATTGTTACACATGATTTGTGGTCAACAATTCATTTATTTTCCTCTAAGGATGTTCACTTTAAAGACGGCTTTATAATAACATGTAAACCTTTATTTTGACATTTCTCATTATACCAACTAAAATTTGACATTCGATTCAGGTCTGAGAAATAAAACAGACATGAATTTTTTTTTCCAGTTAACAAACTAATCTCAACAATTATTAATTTTTTTTGACAAAGAAACAAAAAATAAATCTGTTTAATTTATTACTAGTATTTTAGTAATAATACATTTTATTGACATGTTTGGCACTAACAAGTTCTGGTTTCTCTGTTTCTTTACGTTTTTATAGCACTATACGTATTAATCATCAAGAAACAACGAGAAGTTCACTCGGATATACTAGGTTTTTCTTCGTGGCCCTCTGTTTCCGATAAATCACAAGTGTCTAGTCATCATTGTTCACTGAAACATCTCTTTCCTGAATCGTAGAGTTTTCTTTGCTTCCAATCTATTTAAGCGTTCAGTCATCTAAAAAGAAGATACATGAAATAAATAAATAAATAAAACTTATTTCAAAACAGCCAAAGTTAACTGATAATGATTAACTGATTTAATGTAAGCCTTTGAAACATTGAAAAGTGTGAACATCTGTAAATGATTATAATAAATGATGATTGTATTCAAATATTGCTTGTTTACCTTAGCAACAATCTTGTTTGCGATGCTGTCACCTTGGAGTCGTTTAGCTGTGTCAAGGACGGTGTATATGGTAGTTGTAGTTGAACAAGTTTCCAGAAAATCTATACATAATTCCACTAAATCTGGCAAGTCATAGCGATGAGCGGCACAGGTCAACTCTGAAAAGAGACAAACATATATTAACTATATAAATTTGAGAGTTTGGAGATTTTCCAATTAATTTCCAAAATGACAATTATTATTTAGAAAAGAGAAATGAAAAAAAAATTAATTCAAGCATCATATATAATATCTTTTTCTACATTTATAAATATTTGCAAATAAGTTAAATCTATTTGTCTTATAATTTACCTGTTACTTCCTGTGGCGCTATGTCGACACTTCCGGTGTGAATGTACTCTACCATCCTCTTAAAGATGTTCACACTGACGTCATGGATGTTGACTACTGGTTTCTGGACATCAGCAGATTTATTTTTCTTTAACTTTTTCTTCTTGGAAGCTATACCCGCTGCTTCCTTTGTTGCTTTCAAAATCAGCTGATAAAATATCCTTTAAAAGATATATAGGCGAATGAATTACTTTGCTGTCAAAGTGCATTGTGTTGTAATATTGCTTAAAGTTAATATTCAATTAAGAATTATATCAACTTATATGGATTATAAAATTTTGCAAAATTTTAGTTAAAGTGTATTGTGTTGTAAGGAAGATCATAATATGTTCTTATTGTAACACACACTCAAAGAGATGAAGTTATTTTTAAAAGCTGTATTAAATATGGTCATTTAATTTAATTCTTTGTTTAGCCTCCACCCTACATTTGAAAACCTATCTTTTTATCCGGGAAAAAATCGCTCAAAGCGTAATGTAAAAACGCAACATTTCAAGCGCACTTCTTTATTTTAGAATTCTTCTAGCATTATCATTAAATTACAAGTTTATTGAAACAATCATTTTTGGTACAACACCTTAAAAAAAGTCAATTCCAGAATAGGGAAATGTGTATCAAAGAGATGTATTTGTTGATTTCAATTTGTGATTGTTTTTAATTTCATAATCTCAAAACCTATCCGTCCGAGGATGTTAAACATAGAAAAACGTAAGTTGGAATGGCCTTAAATGATTTGGAGAGAATTATGTATATTATCTTCTTTTAAGAAATATACATTGGCGGATCCAGAAATCTTAAAAAAGGGGGGACCAGTTTGGGGTCACGGTAGGGATCCTCAGCCACACCAGAAAACCCATTGATTTATCAAATTTTATGAATTTTTTTGGACACAACAGGGAGTGGGGCGGGCCCCCCTCTTAATCCGCATTATACTCAGTAATCTGGCCTCAAATGACTTTTTTTCTCTATACTATTTCATAAAAGTTCAAATATAAAAGCTGCTTACAGTCAAAGAATTTAACATACAATATATATAAATAATATTCTATACCTGCTCCTCGTTGACATTATTGATTTCAAGCCGTGGATCGGGGTAAGGCTTGGGCCCACTAAGAAAATGACGTCACAAAGGTCAGGCATGGTAATCACGTGGTTCAAAGCTTCCCTCACTGTCTCGGTATTAACGAATTTCATGCAATCCTCATCCTCGGATTCTGACGATTCGTCCTCTGACCACGCCTCTTCGTCAAACCACGCCCCCTTTCGTCCACATGATTCATCCTCGCTTTCTGATTGGCTTATGCAGGAGTCCGTATCACTGATTTCACTATCTGAATCGTCTGCATCATTTATTTCCCGCCAAGTCCAGTGAAGAGAGTTGTCAGCATTTTTCTTCCTGTAAGTTTCAGTGTCTATTTCTGGATTCGAATCATAACCCGATGAAAACCCTACCAAAACAGATGCAAATGTATATTATCTTTCAATTAAATTATGTAATTATAAATGTCCTTAATAAATAAAAATAAGATAACTCACATAGATGATGGTCGTAAAACCCATATTATGTGAACTGATCAAAGGATCTGGTTTTAATCAGACTGAGTATCTAAATACAATTAATAAATTCACTATGTTTAAATTAACAAAAATATAAGAATGTATCAGACAATTTTTAATTAAAAAATAATAATTTTTAAAACATACTATATAACAAGCTATCTATAAAAAAATACCCACAGGTACAGACAAAATAAAATGATATAAATAGAAGTTTTGAGATAGAAAACTCATACCTTCATTCTGTGCGCCACTTTTGTCATGAGATCCAAGGAGACAAGTGGTGGATCCAAAATCATTTAGTTCCATCTCGGTTATTTAATGTTAGATCAAAAGTTACCTTGACTTTAACTTTGCAGTACTTATAAGTAATGACTGAATATCTGTTCCATACCTTTTTATATACATACATATTCTTGACATATTTTTAATCAGCTGACAGAATGAACACTGTCCATGTCATCTAACGTTGTTAGAATACCGGTCACCGGTGTTCGAAACTGACGCCTGAAATCAATCAGGTAATTAATTAATTACAGAGATCATTACTGTAATTCTCGGACATTGAAAATGCATTAATTATCTTAATTATTTGACGCCTATGTATATAATGGTGTCAAAATGGTAAGTACATTTTAAACATTTAGAATTCTTGACAGTCTACAATGTAAAAAAAAAATAATTCGATCAGAATAATAGGTGGATGGCATAAATATGCCACCATATAAGTTTATGTTGAATTTTTCTAATTTCTATGATATTTGTATCATTCATTTATACTTGGTTTGAGTTGAACCTAAATCCATGTACATAAGCTCAAACAAGATAAGCGAAATAATCCCCTTGTTGTTTTCAAGAATTACCATTCATATGTATTATTTGAAGCTACACAATTCACTGATTAATTAGAAAAAAAGAAATGTATAAGACTGAGAATAAAATAGATTAAATGTCCATCGTCTTAGATCAATTCGGAGTTTCTTTGTACCACAAGAAGGCACAATAAATGAAGAAGAAGAAACAACCCCGCAAAATATAGACCTTTTCCTTGGATAGATTTTCACTAAAATTATTTTGTTTTTCTTATAGCAGATCAGTTCTTCAATTATCTTTCGCTTCTATTCGTTGTATTAAGATCTTTTGCAGCACGAAGGCCATTTCCTGCTTTTGATCATGAAATATACAGCGTATTGATGCCAAACTATTGATTTAAATCCGAATTTCATTTCACATCATGAATACGTATACATAGATAGACATGACAGAATTAAAATTTTTTAAACATCTATTTCTTTACAAGGAATTACGTGTTTCTCATTTTTTTCTCCCCCTTTTTTGTTTTACTATTGCATGAACAATTCCAAATAAATGAATTTAAAAAATATATAGCTATTTAAAATTATTTTTTTTTAAAGAATTAACAAAGCTGATGAATGAATACATTTACAAAAGAAATAAAAAAAATGATTTGAACTTTTGACCCAAAATTCCTAATTTTTTAAAATTTGTTTGAACCAAATAAAAAACAAAACAAAACAAAAAAACCATGAGTAATGCATCTTTCATGATGTTTCATCTAAATTTACCGCAAATTCAGACACGAATAAAATAACCAATCTCTATGTGATCTATAAAATTGTGTTCTGATTGGCTGAAAACTTATTGCTCCTGAATATCCGCGAGTTCGAATAAATGTGTATTCTTTATTGAAGCAACATGGCCTCCATTTTTCTACGTAACATTTCAACCGGACTTTTACTTGTTTCAGTAATAAATATCATAGCATCAGAGCTAGTAACTACACACTTTACAGCTGTACAAGAAATGAGCGACAAAATTGATGATAGTGGATTTCTCCAAACTTTTTTTGCCAACTCTGCAATTGAGTGTTCCCTTGCCTGCGTGGTCAAATGCAGCTGTTTTGGGTACAACAAAAACCGAGTTTGTCGCCTCCACGAGCAATGTGTGAGTACAGCTTTGACGATTCAGGAAACAGGATGGCGTTATTACCGTAAAGAAGGTAAGAAAAATTATTATTTTGTTTTATGTTTAAATTTTTACTAAAATATTGGGTACATGGGATACATATTATTTATGTACCAATATTTTGGTTTGGGCGTATAAAGTGAACGAACTTAAACTTGACTCTCAAAAAAATTAAATTAAAAAAAAGCACGAAATATGATTTTCATTTTAAGCGATACATTTTAATTTTTTACCCCCGCCCCCCTTATCATTTCTAAACGAACTTTATTTGATATGAAAGAAACTGTTTTCCTGTTTAGCAATGCATGCATGATTTAAAGGAAGAGGAATGAGACAGTTTGTCAATTACTGCTTTATATATTCATGAAATAAATTTGAAATTCGGTAAAGTAAAAATGGCCATTGGACTTTAAAAAACTAAAAAACAATCTTTTTCATTTCCCCCAATTTTTTATCGTCAGTTGAAGAGCTTTTAAATCAATCTTCACGATGATAATTCTGCATTTTTATCCAATGTGGAATAAAATAAATTAAAAAAAAAAAGCAAACAAATTAATTTATTTTCAGCCCAAGCGATTGACTGCAAAGATTGGTATGTGAACAAAGGGGCTAGATTGTCTGGAATATACACAACAAGTCCCACCGGAAGTCAGATTATACAGGTCTTCTGTGATATGGATACCTTGAGCGGCGGTTGGACTGTAAGAAGAATAAAAAATTACAGTAAAACACGATTATAACGAACAGGCATATCAAGAAATGACGCTTACAACTAAAAGATTTTTATTCCCTGCGGCTTAAATATATTTTAAAACGAAACCAAAACTGCCTGTTCCTGATATTCGTTATAATCGTGTATCACTGTAATAAAATACATGACTTTATTTGTTTCTTAGGTTTTGTCACAGGTGCTTGAGGAGTGAATAGAGGACCCCCCCCCCCCCTCGATATAGACCCCTAGGCTTTTTCAACTTATTTCCCAGAAATTATTTTTCAATGACATATTTGTGATAAAATCTATTCCAACAATTCGAAAATTTACCTAAAACAAACGTTTTATAAGATTTACCCCATACATATGTATATCCCACACTTTAATGGGTGCAAATTCTTACTTTTTACAAGATCGTTTTTAAGAACTTTTTATAAAAAAACAAAACCAAATATGAAGAAGAATGGCTAGAGTCTGCAGGGATGGAACACTATTTTCCGTCTGTCAGACTCCCATGCACCAACAAATACAGAATACATTCAAATTCCCCATTATTACACGATTGAGTTATTGATCTTTGCTGAGGAGCGGACATCATGTTTGTTCATTTATTCTTAGCTTTAGATATTAATTCTATATATAGTTTTAAGTAAACAACGAAATCTTTATTTGAAAATACCTTTGTGTACTTTTGTAAAAGCATGCTATTATATTCTATATAGGTAATATTAAAACGCTCGGATGGTTCTGTGAATTTTACAAGGAATTATGAAGACTATAAGATAGGATTCGGGAATATATCGAACGAGTATTGGATTGGTAAGTCATTATTATTTGTATCATCTTTGATACACTTTTTATTTTCTCTAAGGTAGAGTGACGATTATAGGATTAAATCAATTCAGTACATTCATGAAAGCGGCGTCGGAACCAAATTAAAAGTCTGCGTGAATATGTGTGGTGGTGGTGGTGGGGGGGGGAGGGGCTTAACCAAAAAATCGTTTTGGGGACTAAGCCTCAATTTTCAATGCCCATATGTCTAAAATTTCGATAAAAAAATTCGAGGGAGTTACCCCTCCCCAACCCCCTACCCCCCCCCCCCCCCATTCGAGGGGGTTACCCCTCCCCAACCCCCTAACACCCCCCCCCCGTCCTCGGTTCCGACGTGGTATATGGAGCTTTAAAAATGATATTAAACTTACAACAGTGTTTAGTAGTTTGCATAATATAATTTAAGCATACTTATAGGTAACCAACTCATCCACACCTTGACAAATTACCAACCATCTGAATTATACATAGTGATTACTGACATTTACGGTGTCAACTTTTATGAGTTGTACGATCAAGTCTATGTGTCCAGTGAAGAAGACGGATTCAGAATTCTTCTTGGTAATTCTATGGGAACTCTTGGTAAGTTTTTTCCTATAAGTATTACGTCCAATGTAATTAATCAGCTGCCACTGTAAAAATAAACAATTTTGAATATATACGAGGATTGATCTAAAAGTAATGTCAAAACATTGATATTATACGGTATCTTGAAATAACTACAGTAAAACTTGTTTAGAACGAACATGGATATTGCGAATTCACGGACAAAGCGAAGTTATCTTGTATACCCAACTATATTTAATGAATTCCTTATACGGATATATAGTGAAGTATTTTCATAGGTCCCAGTGACTTCGTTATAACCGAGTTTTACTGTATTTTTTTTATATGAAAGGTAACGCCATGATGCCGAGCGAGTCCAAGTTTCATCAGAATGGATCCAGATTTACCACCATAGACAAGGATCAGGATGAGTTCCCGGAGAACTGCGCCGCGAGGTTTGGGGGAGGGGGGTGGTGGTATAAAAGCTGTTATAAGGCCCAGCTGACGGGACAGTACGGGACCACGGAGTGGGCGTGGCCGTGGTATCCCACGTTTACCGACGGCACCACCATCAAAACTGTCAAAATGATGTTAAGGAGAAAGGCGTAATAATTGTAATACATGTATTAATCTCACGAAGGTTTACAGGGAATTATGATGGAATATAGGATACGCCCATTGTTCATATGTTGCATAAAATCCATCACTACAAACTCTTTTTATTGACAATTTCAGTAAAAATAAAAGTATATTAGGAATTAATCTAGTGAAATGTCAAATGTATACCATTAAAAGAAAAATAAAATACATTACAGTTGCAAGTATCGCTGCCTTTAAAATATTTATTTATTAAATCATTTTTTCTTTGTCTTTGATTTTTATATCGATCAACCCTTGTTATCGCTACTTGCAGTCAGAAAACGAAAAGAAAATATTAAAGTATCCGAAGATTCGAGTAAGCGAAATAAAAAACCGTAAGGAAAAATTCGAGATATCGGTATTCCATATACCTAAGTTCAATTGTATATTAATAATTGCATAATAACGATTTTTTTAAAATGTACTTCAAAATGTATGATCCTCTGAAAGAAACAAGATGTGTTTGTGAAACTCTATGCGCCCGGCGGCAAGTTCGAAAAAACTATTTTAAACATATAGGTCACAGTCAAGGTCACAAGGTCATTGATCTTGGTATCATTTGAAAGATCTTAATTAGTGGAGTAGGCATACCAAATATGAAGTCTATATCTTTCATGGTTCAAATGTTATGATGAAGGTTCAAAAAAGCTATTTTTAGCATATAGGTCACAGACAAGGTCACAAGGTCATTGATCTTGGTGTCATTCGAAAAGGATTAATGAGTGTAGTACACACACCAAATATGAAGTCTCTATCTTTATTAGTTCAAAAGTTAAGGCGAAGGTTAAAGTTTGAAGATAAAAAATCTATTATTAGCATATACGTCACAGTCAATGTCACAAAGTCATTAACCTTCGTATTATTGGAAAGAGCTAAATTAGTGGAGTATGCATAGCAAAAATGAAGTCTTTATCTTTCATGGTTTTAAAGTTACAGCGAAGGTTAAAGTCTGCAGGAAAAAGCTATTTTAAGTATATATGTCACAATCAAGGTCACAAGGTCATTGACCATGGTGTCGTTTAAAAGAGCTTTATCAGTGGCGTAGGCATACCAAATATAAAGTCTGTGTCTTTTATGGTTCAAAAGTTATGGCGAAGGCTAAAGTTTGCAAAAAAAAAACAAAAAAACAAAACAACTATTTTTAGCATATAGGTCACAGTCAAGGTCAAAATGTCATTTACCTTGAAGTCATTTGAAAGAGCTTAATTAGTGGAGTATGCATACCAAATATGAAGTCTCTTTCATTCATGGTTCAAAAGTTATGGCGAAGGTTAAAGTTTGCAGTCAAACAGACAGACAGACAGACAGGACAAAAACAATATACGCCTCGAATCTTTCGATCCGGGCGCTTCAAAAAAATTGAAATCTTCCTCTATCTACGTAAGTGATAGGTCCTGATAAAGATATTTATTTTCACTAAAATATTGTTCTTCTTCTACTGTACAAAATATTATTGGCAACTGAGATTTTTTACACACAAGATAACGTTGATTATTGTTCAATGATTGTTATAAAGCGCACTGATCTTTTGGACAAGTTATCAAAATTATTATTTAACCAATAAAATGCTTTCCTTGGATGTAAATGTAGAACATCAGATTTTGCTTGAAAAGGCCAGAATTCAAAATAAAAAGT